AGTGAGAGAGGACATGTGGCGCAAGGTGAGGGAGAGAGTGGGGAGCAAGTTTGGTCCCCCCTCTCCAAGTGGTCCTTATTTGCTCTCTCATGTATAGTTGACACTTGTGGATTTATTACTAGCTTGCTTAAATAATTTTATTTTACCTTTAAATTAAAATATGAAAATCTCACTATCCCACATTGATGGGAGAGACAATCATACTCTCATCATTTCCTATAAATACCCAAGTAAGGGAATTGGAAATGATGCTTGAGTAAGAGTTAGAAAAGGGATCACTAGTAAACCTTTGAACTCAAGAGGTTGAAAAGGTTTCATACTTTGTGAAATCCATTAAACTCAATTACTTGGGTTTATCGGTCGGATCTTGATAACCTCAAGACATTGGACCTAACTAGTGATCGTTGTTGCGGGTGGATCATCGTTGGAGGCTTCGTAATTTCGAAGCTAGCTTTTAAGTAAGAGCCCAAGTGGTCAGGAGAAGCACGCTCCAAAGATAATCATTTTATCTTAATCTTATTGTTAAGTTAATTATGTTTATGGTTTTATTTATTGCGAATGCGGTCTTGTTTTTGGGTTAGTTTTTGCGGTGAGTCGGACTTACCAAACCCCAACACCTATAAGGGTTTAAAATTGCATATAAATTAAGGAATGAACCAATTAAATAACCATAATAAATATGCAATAAATTTTCAAGGTTAGAAAGACTTAAAATTTTTCGTCAAAACAAAAAATCCCTCGAAAAATGCATTTCTGGTCGTTTTTTGGCTAAAATCACAGTCCTTAAAGGGTAAAACCTTTTTCAGATAGCCTTTTCCACCCAAAATTCACTATTTTTGGGCGAAAATCTGGGTTTTAGAGCTGAAGTCAGCTCTAATACGGGATTAAAATTAATAAACCGAGCTACTAATTTAATCAGCGACTTAAATCCATAAAAATTAAGCCATAAAAACACATTGACAAAATATGATTATAAAATAATTGAGCAAGTCTCCGACACTACTGTTGGGTTTCGGTGAGACCCACCGTGGAAGGAAACCCGACCCCAAAACCAAATTCACAATAATTATAACCATAAACACAATAAACATAAACACAAGACTAAGTAAGTAATTATTACCTTTGTAGCGTGCTTCGCCCTCCAAAACGAGCTCTTACTTCAAAGGCTTTAAGTCGCGCTCACACGGCGGCCTTATTCAAGGTGCACCCGCAACGCGTGCACCGAACCGGTCTAATGCCTTGGAGTTAAGCAAGGCCCGACCTAAAAACCCTAGTTTTTAGTATTCAAAGGTTTTCACACTATGATGCCTTTTTCAACTCTTACTCAAGTAAAGAATTCCCAACTCCTTAGGTTTGTATTTATAGGAAAAGGCTCCCATAATGCCCATCATCATTCCATGTGGGAGATTTTGATTGTATTCATTTTATTTTAAATCTAAACTAAAATTAATAAGCAAGCTACTAATAAATGAACAAGTGTCAAGCTGACATGAGGGGTTAGGTGAGGACCATTTGGAGGAGGGGGGACCAAACTTGCTCCCCACTCCTCTCCTAAACACCGCCACCTCACACCTCTCATCCGCTCTTGCTAGCCCCCACATGGCAGCTCCACTTGGGCACCAAGGCACCCAAAGTGTGCTGCCACGCTACCCCATTTGCTCGTGGCAACCCATAGCCAGCAGGCCCAGCACGAGCATGCGGGTTGTTGCAGCCGTGGGCTGCTGCTAGCTCCCTCGGCCAACATGTCTCGCACCATATGTGCGAGCTGCTGCTGGCCTTGTGCGCACATGGTCGCGGTAGCCATGCTAGCTTAGGTGCGCTAGCACGCACCAGCCAGCCATAGGCTCTGCTTTGTGTGCTAACTAGCTACCATGCCCCTAGCACTCGGTTTGCTTGGGGCATTCCGATGCTAGGGGTATTTTTGGGATTATGTTGATTTATTAGGTTTTCGCATCTCGTATTTTTATTATTTTCGACTCGACTTTCAACGCTCTATGCTCGAATTTCTGATGACTAAATATTAATTACTCGAGCACTCATTAATTCCTTCCGAATTAATTCGTCGCTTCGGCTCACTAGATGCTTGGGTGTGACCCAAAGGATTCAGTCATAATTAAGTTGTAATATTAATTATTCATTAATATTACTGATCAGAAGCGGCCTCCACCCAGGCATTCTGATCACTTGACCTCACTGAATAATTAGCTTTCTGATAATTTCGAATCCTCTATCGGAATAATACACTTTTTTGAAAGACATCATTCCTTTCAGATTGAACCGCCTTACATAGGAGCGTAGCCCATCTCTATCCCCCTGATGCACATTGCTCAAGTCGAAACTTGTTTTCTTTGTAGCTTATTCATAGAGAAGTTGGAAGCAAATAAGAATGCAAGCGTCTTGAAGCTGTTGATACAACTAGCCGACAGGTTACCGAACCACCGTTGGGTTATGCCCTTTAGGGTAGTGGGAAGCAGCGACACCATGCGGCATCATCCAACCCCTTTAAGTACATGAGGTTGGTGTATGCCAGAAGCTAATCTTCTGGGTTGGAGGTACCATCATAGGTCCCCACCAACAAATTTTTAATCTTTGTCGGCTGTTCAGCCTCGGCTATTTTCCTGGAGAACGTAGAGGGTTGTTCTCCAAGGTTTTGTAGCCGAAGTTGCTAGTCCATAGGCTGGTAATTATATGTCGCCTGTCCTCCGAAGAAGGCAAACTGGATTTAAGGCAAAGCAGGCGGCCTATATAATGGCTGAAACATATATAGCGCCGAGATGATTACATGGGGTCCCGGATGGACAAGAGGGCCGCATGACGGGGTCCCATGTACAGACTGAGAATTCCCCACTAAAGTATTCTTGAAGCTATCTGGATAAGTCGACGTGGATGCTGACTTAGACAACTATTGGTAGGGCTGCACAGAGTGCGGTTTAGACCGCACCAAACCGCAAACCAAACCGAAATTTTGCGATTTGGTGCGATTTGCGGTTTGAAAATTGCGGTGCGTTTTTTAAAAGGACCAAACCGCGGTTTGCGGTTTGGTGCGGTTTCAAAATTATTGAGACCAAACCGCACCGCAAACCGCACTTTAATGCGGTTTGCGATTTTTATACTATATTTTCATTAAAATTATATAAAAGAACTAAAATATATGAGCTATTTTTTTAAAATTAGTTCATTAATGGTTAATAAAAAGAGTTTAATATTTATATCAACTAATAATTATAATTTATAATAAAAGTTTTGTTTTTAAAAGAATAGTTACAATTTTAATAAAATACGGTTAAACTGCAAACCGCACCACATCTTGCAGTGCGGTTTGGTGCGGTTTTTTTAAAACTGCGGTTTGGTGCGGTTTGAAAAAATTACAAACCGCACCGTGAACACCCCTAACTGTAGTTCTTCTTTTGTTCGATAAAGTGTCGAGCATCAGAGAATGTCTTTTTGCTATCGTCCGGCTACACATGCCGGATGGCTTTTCTTTTTGTCGTTTTTGGGAAACGGAGTCTGGAAAGGTTGATCCGGGGCCGAGCCTTCTCCTTTTAATCAGGGTGAGGAGTGGGCTAGCAGTCCCTGACCGACTTTTGCTTCACACCCTGGGCTGGTTTTTTGGCCGACTGTTCCTTCCTAGGAGCAGCCGTCCTCTACGTGATTAAATCTTTTATTTCACCCTTGAAACTGTTCATGAATTTCATGAGCTCGTCTCGGGTGACTAGGCTGATCCTGCCGCCTGGGTCGTGGGATCAGATGGCTGCTAGGGCTTTCTTATCTGCTAAGGGGGCTTGCTTGTGCCCGCCTGGTCATCATTCCGCTCCCGTCTGTCCTTGTAACAGATGCGTTCAGAGATGAATGGCCCATCATAGGACACATAGGTTTCGATGTTTCCATCGTCAGTAGAGTCATGGTTCGAATGGACCTCTGCTTCAACTGTAGGCCGGTTGGATATGGAGGCGGTAAAGGTTCTTGTGAAACCATCTTTGAGGTTCTCCCCCCACAGACAGCCCCAAATGTTTCGGGTGCTTTTATGTCCCTTGGGAGAGTTACAACTCGAAAACTGGATCGGAAAAGGCCGCCTGTACCTGCAAAATGAACGGAGTTCCAGATAATTGGAGGTCCGCCTCCGAAGATTAAGTTAGTACGGATTCAGAGTAAAACGTGAGAAAAGTAAATATCCTCTCGGATTCCGAGATTAGGTGTTCTCTGTTTTCTAGAGCAATAAATGTCTTAATGATTAAGACATGCCCCAATAATTAGGGAAATCTCCCTATTTAAAAGGGTCCTAGAAAGGTGTGCCCTATCCTAGGGTTTGATGACCTAGGAATTAGGGCAGCGCCCTACCTCGAGATTTGGGTCGTGAAGGCCGCCATTTCCTAGATGCCATATCTGCATGACAGGTTTCAGCATCTGGGGAGTTCATTTGGACGCCTCTTAAAGCGACACGTGTCATACGTTCATTAGGCTATTTGGTGGGGTATAATTGTATAAATACCCAAATCAGGTAGTTATTTTCAAAATGTGTAACATAAAGGGTAGTGATTCACAAATTTTACTTCTTATTCGAGCTTAGTGACTCCTTCTATTTGGGCTTTGTGACTTAATAGTGGACCTAAAGGTTCTGGGTCACTTATGAATTGAACCTTTGAATCAACAAATATAAAAATGGGTCTAATAGAAAAAAGATCAAATTCATGAGAGTGAGGGATAGCTGGTTACCGGTTAGAGCTTTCCTCCCAATTATAGGAGATTTTAGGATCGATTCTTATCACCCACCTTAATGGCTCAGAACAATAAACGAATTAATGTGTAGAACTTCACTCTCATGTTCCTTTCTCACTTTACAATCAACATAAACATCACAAACACAACCTCAAAATTAACCAAACTAAATATAATTAACTATAGCATACATTAAGGTGCACAATCTTGCAGAACAATCCAATTATATGTCCATTTTGAAGAGTTATACTAACAGAAACAATTGATTCTTAAATGATCCATGATTCGTGAAATTACTCTTTGAATAAATATAACTTAACCAATACTAACAAAAACAATTGGTTCTTGATTGAACCATGTGTTACAATTATCTGAAAACTACAACAAAGAAGTAACATATACTCCATATTATCTATCAGAAACAAAAAAATGGGTAAAAATTCAAATAATAAAGCATTGTAGTGTCTAATTCCATTATCCTCTTTGAAAGCTTCTACACCAACTACGATCAGGACGATACCTTGATAGCTTTGAATGGTGGGTGAAGCAAACCTAAATCGTCCTTAACTTCGAGCGGATTACTCGTTTCGTTTCGAGTTTTAACAACCTTTCTACTAGCCAAAGACCTGTGAGAATACCCATACATTTGCAAAACCTGATTATCTCCGAAGTTATAAGCTCTATCCATTTGTTTCAAGCACCTCTCAACAGGGTAATCCCCGAATTTACCACAAGGTTTACACCCCACAAAATGAGTAACTAAAGGCCATCTATGATCACCAAAACCCGGGTGATATTTCTCAATGTACTCCTCATAATTATCCACTAATATCCCCCAATAACCATGAAGGTAATAATGATTCTCTAGATATACCTTGTCACCCCATTTCTCCTTTTGAGTAGCTAATATATAAACCATGGCAGATTGATCATCGGCCTCGAAAACGGGCCGACCCTTTAAAGCATTCGTCAAGACCTTCCCTGCTTCCTCCCTAATCTTACCCTTTGGACCCATTGGTGCCCAAGTATCAAGCAAATCCAATGACCATTGATTATTTCGCAATAGAAAGCTTCCTGTGTTCAAGCCGATCCAATTCTTTTCGTCGTAAACCATTTCATTCCAACCGTGCATAACCAAATTGTAATCCTTGTACCGCTCCCATGGAAGCTCAAACACCATATCAGTGAACATAGCGTCACTATCCATCCACCATAAAAACTCGATTTCTGGGTGCGACAACAACAGCTTCCGAATCAATGGCAGCTTCGCCCAAAACCCAGCCATCTCAGCATCCAAAAGTGCCAAATTATAGAATATCTCAATCCCATGAATCCTACAATAATCAATCTTATTCTTAATCGATTTCAACAAGTAATGATCACCAACAGGATTCTCACACGGTTTTGGGGACGAACCAGTAACCAACAACACCCGAGGCTTATTGGGTTGAACATAGTTCGGAAAGTCCGGGTTATTCTTCAACCAATTTCCTCTCTGTTCATCCCAATCAGAAATCTTGGGCCCCAAAGTATAAGCCTGGTTAGGATCTTTCTTCTCAGGAGGCTCATCATCAACCACTATCTTCTTAATATCGAATGACTCGTAACTATTCGAATTCGTTTCGGCGGCATCCTTGACATCCTCCAATATACGGCGGCTGTGGGTGTGATGGCCAGCAGCCGATAGCGAATATTGAAGGAGATGGAAATCAGTCTCGGGTGTTCCGAAATCACCCGCGCCAAGCATTGACCGAATCATAATCAAGGTTAGGAATAGACAGAGGATTGTTACCTTCATCTTCTGGAATGCTCTCTGGATCTGGGCAACACGCCGTTGCCCAATACACCAGCTGAGCATTTTCTAACTAAGGGTTTAATTAATGCAAAAAATTTTGAGCTTATTTTGAGATTGTTGGGAAGAAAATTGGGTTTGATTGTAAGAATTTGGATTGATTTTGGGTATTATTATTAGATTGGATCTGAAAAAAAAAAATTTAAAAATAAAATAATATTTGTCGGTAAGAATAATGGAGAAGTGAAAGAGTGAGGAAGGAAAGAATAGTGAGGGATTTTTAATTTTATTGCAAAGATTTTCTTTTCTTTTATTTATTTATTTATATTTTGAAGAAGAAAGAAGATGTTTTAGTTGAGGTAATCACGTTGTAAATTGACAAGATGGGATATATGAACGTGTTTAGTTGTGTGTAGGCTTGCATCGCAGCATCATGTGAGATGTGCTTTCCCATTAATTTTGGGTCAAATTTTATGTACTCACATAATTAGCTTTCAATTTAGGGAAATTCTCATCGGTAACACCCAACTTTTGTTTTTTCTCAATGGTACAATGCAAAATTTTGGATTATCATTGGTAATCACCAATTAGTAATAATAATTTACTGGTAACATTAATTAAACCTTTACGTAATTATTGACTAACCATGGTTTACTAATAACACAAATACAAACCTATCCTTCTAAAAAATCACTTCCCTCCAAAGTTATATGCTGCTTTCCCTCCTTAATCAATTACCCCTTTATATAAACCCTAAACCCCCAATTCTATTCATATTTTCTGTTCTTCTTCTCAATTTATCTTAATACTTCCATGGCTAAACAAAATACGAAATTAAGATAACATAGGGAATGAGACAGGAGGTCAGCGAAAGTATCCAATCTAATAAATTGATCATCTTGATTGAAGTTTTAGTCGGATGATTATAGATTGAGTTACCAATTTATCTGTATTTTATCAATCGTGGGTAATTCAAGGTTCAATTTTTCTGGGTTCGATTAATTTAGGTTCACTTGACCCAATCATCACTTGTTCTTCCAATTTTCGATCTGATTTTGAGTTTAATTTAGTGGGTTTCGATCTAATTTGGGGATGAACTACTGGGTTTATTGATTAATTTTAGTTTATGTGAGAATTTGATCATCTGAAGCACCATGGGCAGGCTTCGGCTAATTTCAATAACACACTATCATCATATTGCAACAAAGTCATTTATCTGACCTTATACAACCAATATTGTAAAGTGAATGCTATATTGCTATTGGTTTACCTTACATCAACATGGGGCTGTACAAAAGGTACATGAGAATCATGGTGATCATCCGTAGAGCTCACCTGTTCTGATTTGTCAGAGAAAGTTGTTGCTATGGAGAGGACTAACAGTGGTCGTGACAACATCTGAAAATATTTAATTTATATAATCTTTTAGAAAGGGGGTTTTCAAAGAAAAAAACAAGGGAATCCAAACTGCATAATGATGAAACGAGAAGTGTTGAATTCATTTGATTAGACAGAAGTGGTTAAGGGAAATAAATAGGGTCAATTTAGTCATTTCCCAGTTTATTTCCCACTTAACATTTTAACCATGGTTAAGGTTTTAAGTAAAACTTTCATTAATGTTACCAGTAACTTAGTATTGCTAATTGGTGATTACCAATGATAATAAAAAATTTTGCATTCTACCATTGAAAAAACACAAAAGTTGGGTGTTACTGGTGAGAATTTCCCTTCAATTTATTATACTTATTACAATTAGTAGTGCTGTCAAATTTCAAACCGAAACTATTTAACTGCCCGAATCAAACCGACCCAAATGAGAACCGAACCGATTTAAAACCGTTTATTTGAAACCGAAAACCGACCTGAACCGTATGTGAATGAACCCGAAATTGAACCGATCTGAATAACGTTACACCATATAAGAACCGAACCCGTTAATGAACCAAACCAAATCTAAACCGAACTGAAATCAAACTGAACCGAAAAAGAACCAAACTGTTTCTAACCCGAAACCGTTTGAACCGGGATAAAAACCGTTTACACAGAACCGTTAACAACCCGCGACCCGTTTGCACCGAACTGTAAATAAACCAAACCGTTTATAAACCAAACCGCTTGCAAACCGAATCCTTTATGAACCGGACCGCTTATAAACGAATCGGCTGCAAACTGCTTACTATAAAGAGAATATTAAAATCAAGTTAAAAGGTGTTTTAAATGAAATTTAATTATCATAGTACAAATATTCTTCCTACCAAATTAATATTTATTGAAACTTTATTATCATAGTATAAAATATCTTCCTGTCACTAAAAATCCTCCTGCCATAAACTGAACCAAAAAAGAACCGAATCAGTTATAAACTGAACCGAAAAAGAATCGAACTAGTTATTAACTGAACTGAAAAAGAACCGAATTGTTTCTAACTCAAAACCGTTTCCAACCCGAAACTGTATGAACCGGGATAAAAACCATTTACACCGAACCGTTAACAAACTGCAACCCGTCTTCACCGAAGCGTTTACTACCCGGACCGTTTACGACCCGAACCGAATTAAAACCGCTCAAGTATAGGTAATATTTCAAGCATTAATCCCCTAACTTGAACCCTACTATGATCATACACTAAAGTACGGTGGCGTCCAAAGGGAAAGAAGATAGAGCAAAAGAGTCGCCAGCAAGTTTTTTTTAGGAACTTGTAAACCATTCACGAGGTGAAGGTTACACCCCTTAACGATCCAAGAGATCGACAACTCCAATAGGTCTTGAACCATGACTGGTAGTTTGGGGATGAAGGTACAAATCCAACCTAAAAGAGGTTGATGCTTCCCTAATAATAAACCTCTACTTTATTCTGATCGTACTCATGTGCGCTTTCTGACTAACATGTAATCATTAGGTTTACCCTAAACCTGTTTATCTATGTTGGTTGAATATTAAAGCACAAGAAAATCTATTATTGGCAATTATAGACACCTAAAAATGTCTCCCCAAAACCAAACTCGATGATGAACAACCTTTCACCGCCACTTGAGCTTAAAAAAGGTCGGGTTCAGTATTTAATCCCGAGAGTGCTTAAAAAATTGTATTTAATTAAATTTGTATTTTTGAACAGCCCATGGATTAGTCTTGATGTTTGGTAAAAGCCCAAACATATTATTTAATTTTAGCCCAAACCTTTTTTATTTATTGTTTTATTATTTATTTTTGGCCCAAACCTTTTATTTATTTTATTTAATTATTTTCTCATTTTAGCCCAAATAATAATAAATCAGAAAAAGGCCCGAAATTATCAATCGAGACTTAAAATGCTGAACGAAATTAGTGTTAAAAATGTATTTAGACAGAAAAGCGGGCTGGAAATTCTCGCGCCACGGCAGGAATCCACCGTGTCACGGGAATCATTCCCGTCTGACAGTGGGATTTCCCGTGACACGGGAATTTCCGTGTCTTTTCCGTGTAAACCCTTAACGCGTTTTCTTCCCCGTTCACTAAAAATTTCCCGCGTCACACTAAAACTGCACCGTGTCACGGGAATGTTTCCCGTCTGACGGTGGTACTTCCCGTGTCACGGTACAGTTTGCCGTGTCGTGGGATACGTTTTTAGGGTTTTTTATCATTTTAGTGTTCCGTGTGCTCCCTCAGCACATTTTCTCTATAAATACCCCCTCATTTCTGATGTACAAGGCACCCATTAATTCTCTATTTTTCTCTCTTCTATGCTTTAGCCTAAAACACTAGCCTACCCTTTCTTATTTCAAAATTCCTTCTACAAGTACTCCAAGGAGTCCATACTTTACTCGTGGTTCTGTCCTTAAGCCAAGGCGTGAAAGGTAGAACTGTTTGAGGGTTTTGCCCCAAATCAACTCTAATTAATTTAATTTAATTTAATTATTGTTTTATTATTATTTCCTTGAAGTTACTAACTTGTTTAATATTTTGTAGTTGCAAACAAACAAAATCATAGTAAGAATTATGTTCCTGTTATTTCTATTATTTTTCTAACGATTTTACATTGTTGGAATTATTGTTAAATTGCTTCCAATATTAATGTTTATTCTATTATTGTTATGATCACCATATTGCATGTTTAAAGGGAATATGTAATTGGAAATCACGCCTAATAAGATAATTTGGACAACCGGTTTAGGTTCCTTTTTAATCTTGTTAATTAATTCAAGTGATCACAAATATTTTAGAATTTTGTGTTGCATTAATATTCAACCAATTTAGCCTAATAATAGTTTGGAGCAAATTGAATATTTTGTTTGTATGCCTTTGAGATCGCGGGAATCATTTTTCACTATAAGAATCGAGTAGAGGCCAATACGGGCGAATGTGACTCCATGACTCACTTCTTACCATCATCCCCAATCCTCCTTTCGTGGTTCCGAACCATATGGAGTTATTAATCTCATGGATTATGAATGGGGTGTAACCTTCACAGGCCAATCGTTGTTGCCTTCGTTGTCCCTTATTCGTGGTTGCCTTTTATGATCCGTGAACGGTTTACAAGTTCCTTAAAAACTTGTTGGCGGCTCCCTACTTTCCTTGTCCCTAATCGTATTATGTCAATTCCCACTTCCTATGAATTCCAAGCATATTCACAACATGCTTTAACGTAGGCGCACTTCGAGCGACGCCTACAATTTGGCGACTCCACTGGGAAGGATTCTTGGTTATTTATCGATTTGAGTAATCGGTATTTAATTAAGATGAGTGGATGAGACTTGAAAGATTCTTGAAAAAATATTCCTGTGATTAATTTGGCTTTTTCGCATATGCATAGACGTTTAACGTCGCATTTAGGTCTGTCCCGTAAGAAAAATTGAATAACTTGGTTGCGTACGAAGGAAAACAGGGCACTAGTCAGATATTCTGACTGCCATGCCACGGCAAAATCTGTCGTGTCACTGTATAGTGCACCGTCTGACGGTGCACAGTACCGTGGCACGGGAATTTTTGTCGTGTCACGACAGTCCTAAAATCAGACCGGTGGCTTATTTTCTCTTCTCACAGTCAACTTCCTTCGATTTTTCTGAAAAAACGTATGTGTTCTACATGCGTCTTAGCCTCGAGGGATTTAACTCTATCAACCCAAAAACGCTAATGGCAATAAGGGTTCATCCGAGTTATTAAATCCACCCAAACCATGGAGTCGAGATCGATTTCATCACGAACTCGCGGAGCCGCCCGTTGGCATACACCCTCGTAAACGGTTTACAAGTTCCTTAAAAACTTGTTGGCGGCTCCTTACTTTCTTTGTCCCTAATCGTATACGTCAATTCCCACTTCCTATGAGTGCCAAGAATATTCACACATGATTTTAACGTAGGCGCACTTCGAACGATGCCTACAATTTGGCGACTCCACTGGGAGGATTCTTGGTTATTTATCGATTTGAGTGATCGGTATTTAATTAAGATGAGTGGATGAGACTTGAAAGATTCTTGAAAAATATTCCTGTGATTAATTTGGCATTTTTGCATATGCATAGACGTTTTAACGACGCATTT